GCCTCCCCTGTTCCCTTGTCCCCAACTGCCCCCTCCTCGAGACCCCCCACCCTAACTGACCCCCTAGGATCCTACCCCCTACCTGTACCCTGACTGTCCAAAACCTTACACCCCCCAACCCCCAGACAGCCCCCCCGAACTCCCGACCCATCGAACCCTGCTCCCTGTCTCTTGACTGCCCCCTCCAGAACCTCCCTGCCCCTTCTCTGACCCCCTGACCCCCTTACCGTGCCGCTCAGAACAGAGTGCTGCAGAGCAGCACGCTCGGCAGCAGGGGAGGGGGGAGCAGAGGGAGGAGCTCCAGACTGCCGGAGGCCCGAGGCGAACGGCCGGCCGGCGATCTGCGAATGCAGGGAGGGAGAGGGAGGGAAAGAGAGGAGGGGAGTGGTCTCAAATTGCAGGGGAGAGGAGGGGGAAGCGGAGGAGGGGCTCTGGCTGTCAGAGCCCCGTGCGAGTGGCACGATCCGGCTGGCTGCCCTATCAGCCGCGCGCGCTCTGCATGGGGGGGAAGTCTGGACATTTACAAATTCCCCCCGGACGCTATTTTTAATTTAAAAAAGCCGGACATGTCCGGCAGAACCTGGACGAATGGTAACCGTACAGTAATCTCCTGGGGCCCTGTCTATACCCACTAGTGAGTGTATGTTACAGGTTTCCATCTATGGCCAGTCCACAGAGGTTATGAGCCAGTTACAGCCCCAGTTAAAGAACCTGACTTAAGCTCACGCAGTAGCAGTTTGTGCTTTTAGCTCTGGAGGTCCTCAGTTCAATCCCTGGTGTTTCAGCCCAGAGGGCGGCTGACACCACCACCACTAGTGGAACTGAAAGGGAGGTAACCATGACCAGTAATTATTCAGCAGATGAAGCCTAGTGCCACCATTCTTTCAATGTTTCACCTATTACTCTCAACGGCCATTCTCAAACTCCTGTATCTGTCATACAATTTGCTGGTGGCCCTGTGCAATGCTGCATGCTGTACCACTGTAAAGAACTTTGATAGCTGGCAAGAGCGGGGAGGGATAGCTTGGTGGTTTGAGCATTGGCTTGCTAAACCCTGAGTTGTGAGTTCAATCCTTGAGGGGGCCATTTAGGGAACTGGGGTAAAAAATCTGTCTGGGGATTGGTCCTGCTTTGAGCAGGGGGTTGGACTAGATGACCTCCTGAGGTCCCTTCCAACCCTGATATTCTATTATTCTAAGAGTACTCTTTGTGAGCACCACTTCTGTGGCTGTGGGGATTAGTAAATAGATAAAGATGGTTCAGAAAACAGGCAGGGTTGAGGGAAAAATCTCACAGGATAAATGAGCTTCCAAGGGATAAGGGTCTGTGCTCAGAACTGCTGAGACAGCTATTTTTTCTACCACTCAAAAAAATCACATGCACCATTTTCCCCTGGGGATTCAAACCCGAGTTAGCTGGCCGGTAACATCTAGCAAGCCCACCTCTCGGCCACGTTCCTGGCAGTCTGCAGGAACCGTGCATGGTCGTTCTCTTTCAGGATATGTTCCGCTTGATTGATAAGGACTGTGGAGCGCTCCAGGCACTGCCGACAGTTAGCTACCTGCTGGGCCAGCTTCCTCAGCTTCATAACCTTGGAGAGAGGAGCAGAGGGGAAACAAAAAACAGAAAACAGCACTTGAAGGAGATCAGCAAGGAGGCCTGGGAATTGGGCTTATTAATCAACTGGCTAAAGCTGCCTTGTTCAGGACAAGGCTGACGGAGAGGCTGCCCTGATGGCTTATCCTCTGCAGCGCCCTGTGAGCACATCAAAGGCATTGCTTTAAAACCAAAGGAGAAAGCACTGGTCCTAGCAGAGGAAGCTTCTCAATGGAAGTCAGCAGGAGTAAAACTCTGCCAGAGCCTTGTGCTCCGGCCCCTCCCAGCCAAACAGCTTGTTGTGGAAAAGAGAGTTAAGAAGCATTTAAAGGTGCACTCTCTGTGTTCATTTAGATTACAGAACAGACAGACTGAAACCCTGGGAAAAAGGCTCTTGGTTGCTCTAAAGGTTTGTGTGATCAAAAGTGATGCAGCTGCTCTTCACTTTCCACATTTTCAAACTCTGAGGGTTTAAATCTCACCTCATTCCCTTTACTTTAGCACAAAAAAATAAGACATTCATGTAACCCCTTTTCGAGTTGGCCCTAGTTTAGGGACGAATCTCTTCTTTGAAAGCAGGTCAGAACAGTACAAGGAAACTTCACACTTCTCTAGAGTGGCTCAGTCAGTGCACAGCTCAGACTTGCACTCAGAAAGCATTACAGTTTCAGCCACAAATAGTTTTATAACTGCAACCAGGGGGTGAGATGTGGCAATAACATGGGATGGGGAAGCAAGCTGTGACACCTGGAATCAGATGCAAACTCAACCAGCTGTAAACATGATCAGATTTGAGCATGCACAAAGAATGACAGACATCTCAAAAGCAGTCAGCCCCACTCTGCACCAAGCTGCATTTGGATATCAGGAAGCCCATTTCTAAGTGGCAGGATAACAATTAACTTGTCACCATTCCCTGCTTCAAAGTCTTTGCTGCATTTTGGAAGTCATACTGTGCCCTAGCCAAAGTTCAAATCAGAAGAAATTCAGTACTTTCAGGGAAAAATTTCCAACAATTCAGCTTTTTCGGCAGGGAATTCCTTAAGTGTGTTTATTGGCTGTTTAAGAATACACGTGATAAACCAAAAATTCACAGCACTGATATTTGAAGTTCTGTGGTATCATCTCTCTGATCTTTTTTCGGCAAAGCATGGTGACAAAACTGAGGGCAGCTCGTGACAGTGGAGTTTGCAATGAAACCAGAATGAACAGTGTTTCTTATGGGGTCAAATCCCGAAGTCCATACTAAGGGAAATGTCATATTGAAGTGCTCAGAACACCTCAGGACTGTGCTCGGGTGAGGGCCTCCTAGGCAATTATGTTGAGATCTGAAACTTTAGAGCCTACAAGTTCACTCAGTCCTACTTCTTGTTCACCCAATTACTCAAACAAACAAGTTTGTTTACTTTTACAGGAGATAATGCTGCCCGCTTCTTTATTTACAATGTCACTAGAAAGTGAGAATAGGCATTCACATGGCACTGTTGTAGCCGGCATTGCAAGGTATTTACATGCCAGATATGCTAAACATTCGTATGCCCCTTCATGCTTTGGCCTACATTCCAGAGGACATGCTTCCGTGCTGATGATGCTCGTTAGAAAAATAACACATAATGAAATTTGTGACTCAACTCCTTGCGAGATAATTGCATGTCTCCTGGTCTGTTCTACCTGCATTCTCCCATATATTTCATGTTATATAGGGTTACCATATTTCAACAATCAAAAAAGAGGACGGGAGGAGCCCCGCCCTAGCCCCG